AATCAGGTAGATTTCCACTTATACTTGAAAGGAAAAAGAAAATTTTGAAATACTGGGTGCAATTAAAATACAGTGATAATTGTATATTACAAGCATGTTATCAAAATATGGTTGAAAATTATGATGAATGGATTGTAAACATTAAGAAGGAATTCCAAAGGCTTGGTTTAGCTGACATGTATACATGTAATAGTGATTGTATTGATAATATTACTCTGAACATTATATTTCAAAGAATGTATGACTGTTGTACACGTAAACAAGAAATTATGGCAAGAATTTGTAATTCTCCTAAATATTTTCTATTTCAACATTTAGTGGAAAATGTTGCATTACAGGCTTATGTAAGAAAACCATTGCATTCTAAGTATAGAATACCTATCAGTCGTTTAAGGCTATCAGCTCATGATTTAAGAATAGAAAGGGGAAGGTATAGTAATATAGAAAGAAAAGATAGAAAATGTGAAATATGTATGTCAGGTGAGATAGAGGACGAATTTCATTTTGTATTAAAATTTCCTCGATATAAAGAACTTAGAAATAAATATATTAAGTGTTATTATTTTAAAAAACCATCAGTATTTAAATTAGTACAGCTATTGAGTTCTACAAATACTAAAGAACTATGTAACCTGGGCAAATTTTTATATTTTTCTCATCAATTAAGAAATGATGTTCTAAATAATAATTAAATGAAATTGTTATGCAATTAATACATGTATATTGTATAGACTGTACAAATCTTATGTTTGAATACTGTATACCTATGAGATGTAATGTCTCCGGTTCAAATAAAATACAAAAGACTTGAAAATGTGACGTAATGGGCTTCTTTCCAATAAAATTATTTCGAGCAATCCAATGAATTGCCCTTCAAGTGTTTCAAAATGAATAGGTACAGGTACATGTACTACATAGTACATTACATATCATATTCGTATAAATTAATTTTGGTTGTAATGCGTCGTTTGATTGGATAAAAATTAATCTAAATTATATAACCTAGCTTGCCTACGTCATAATCATATCAATTCGCTTGAAGTTACGCTTATTATGAACAGTTTGAATTTGTCTTTGTTTCCATACATATTGGTTGAAAATTAAAGTGTAAGAAATGTTTTGTGGTTTATAAAGCTAAAACTACTCCAACCTAGATTATAAAGAATAACTTGGGTTGCTATTTAATTCATTCCATTAATAAAGCATATTTTTGCCCCTGCTGAAAGTGATGCAACGTTGTCAAGCCTGCATCAATAAGACGGGGTCTAATTTATACGGGAAATGTTTGCTGCGACATCGCACAATCATCGCTATTCCTTTTACAATTAGAATACTAGAAATTGAAACAATTTGCAATCAGGTTACAAAAAAATAATTTCGGTTGTAACAAGTCATAGGGTTGCATGAAATAATTAACCTAAATTGTAAAATCTGGTTTGCTTACGTCACAATGACTTATCATCAAAAACGTATCAATCCGTTTGTCGTTACATTCAAAATATGAATAATTTGAAGATATTTTAAGGGAGAGTCTGTCTTGTTTAATACTTGACGATAGGAAATTGAATTGTTAAGAATGAATTAAATAGCAATCAAAGTTATACTGCTATAACCTGGGTTGGAGCAGATTTTATAAACCGCTTCGCGGTTTATAAAGCGTAAACTGTTCCAACCAAGGTTATACATGTAGTGTTTAAGTGAAGTTGCTACTTAATTCATTCATCAAATAAAAAAAACAAATTTAGCGTAATAAGCATCATGCAATTTTACAAATGCATTAATTTGTTGCTGGTTAAATCCCACAGAGCAAGTGATAAACAAATTACCGATTTTGAACATATAACATGTCTGATTTTCATCAAAACACACTCTAAAATCTCTTTTAAAAATTAAGGATAGATGATAAAAACAATTTTTTCTTTGGAAAACATTTTATATCATGTCACAAGTTCAGAAAAGTGCATGGTTCTTATAATTTTTTTCCCCTAAGAATTGAAATATGAAAAAGACTTGTAAAATATTTGTAATATTTCAATGAAAAAACAAATATAGACAAATCACATTCAGTAAAGGTTTACAGGTGAAAACAATCTTCGGAATATGTTATCTTGTCGCTAAAAGTGTAATATAAACCTTATAAAAATATACCAAGCCAGGTGAATTTTATGAGGAAAGGCGAAATGATAAAAATCAGCCAATGTGATATTGCTAATTTTTTGTCATTTTTGTTCTTCCTCTTAAAATTCAAGTAAGTCTAAACATGCTTTTTCGTGTGTATTTACATGTACATAGTACGTGAGATCAATTAGACTGACCTGTTTGGTCGCTCCAAACCTTAAGGGTCATGATTTGAATTCTGAATTCTATACATGCACTACCGGAGAATGCTGCCAAGTGAATATGACGAACCATTTCGTTACAATATATCAACATATATTTACATATCCACTTCTCTCTCCCACTATGAACATGTAGAGATCAACTGCATTCATAGCGCTATAGACGCAATTGCTTCTGCTCTTTAACGCTCATATAGTGTAAGCTCTACTACACTTTTATAGGTGTGTTGAGAAGTATATATATGAAATGTTTAGTAAAAGGAATAAATATAAGTTTTTAATAATATCTATTTGGGAAAAAGAAATTCAGAACAATTTAAAATTGCTGATTTATATGTTTAAAAATTTAATTTTGGTCGATGTATTCAATCGTATAATAAAACTTTTAAAATTTGAAGAGAACTGCCATTATTTATTTTTTCTTATCGTAGTTTTGCATGTTTGTACAAAGAACGATAACTCTTTACACTTGGGTGATAAAACATTCATAAAAAGCAAAATTCAAGAACGATTTCAACTTTTAAAAAAAAAGATATTTTTAAAAAAAATCATAAAGAAAAGCATTCCGGAGTTATAATGATTATTAAAGCTTTCTCTTTTTTATCATAAGGTTAAATTACAGACAGTATTGATTTTTGTCAGAGGGTTTCAATAACGTTGATCGATGACGTCACATCTGCATCAAAACAAAAATTAAGAGAATATGACGACGGCGCAGCTTGTAACTGATAACTGTGTTTTAAAAAAGGCTAAATGTATGTGATTTATTATAGAAAAAGTGCAATGATCAGGTATACTAATCTTAAAGCCGTGTGTTTTTTTACTGAAGACATTAAGCCACATCCTTATGTATACCGGGATTTTCTCTGATATTCTTTAGAACCATTTAAGAGTGCAAATATAAGTAATAAACAAGGATTATTCAGTGAACATGGCATTATGAATAGCAATTGCTCTGCTGGCATAGTTTCCATGATGCGCGCTATGCTATTCATAATGCTATGTTCACTAAATAACGTTGTTTATTTCTTAGATATTGGATGCAACTACATACAGCTGTAAAGAAGAGTAAAACTCTAATTTGAATCTAAATGTTAATATAATCCATATTTACATTTCAAACTATTAACGTTAGACAATTGACCTGGCACTCTTAACCTCTTGTTAAGGGAGCCGACTAGGTTTTTTTGTGTGTGAAAACTACAATAGAGAAACTATAAAAATTTATACCACATGTAACGTATTAGGACTTAGTGTACATTCTACATGTTCTAAATTTCGGTGAAAGCTGGATTGTTTAGGTATTTTAGGGACCGTCTCAAAACGCATTTAGGCCATTCCAAGTTTTTACTCTGTTTAGCGTCCACCCATCTTTCTAAAACCTACCTACCTATTCGCAAAAAACACACAAGCCAAACATAAAACCCAGACTTAATTAAAAGACATAAAAATGACGCCATTCAAATTATTTGATCTAACTTAACTGCTTTAATAGAAGAAATATCTATTCCTAAGCAAATACAAGGGATTAAATGCTTAAAATACACCATGAATAACTTACTGTACAGAATTATTTGGAGAAATTGACAAAATTCAAAAATTTCGACTTAATTAATCAATTTCAGGACTCCTAATGTTGTTTTTTTTCTTATATGGGGTGTCAAAACCCAAGGCGCACGTACACGCTAAACATAGAAAAAGTGGAATGGCCTTACTTGGAATTATATATATCGGCCATTTTTGCATTTTAATCTTTTTTTTTTAATTCAGTAACATGAAACTTCTTATTAGATTTTTTGAACCTGTTATTCCTAGGTTTTGTTACATTTTTTCATTATGTAGAAATATTGCTTTAAAACAGAAAATACGTTTTCTCAAAGCGCAATTATGATGCGCTAGTTTCTTTGCGCAATGGAAACCCGGAATTCATAAATATGATCATAAATTAATAATTATAAATTTGAAGTTGTGAAATACAAGAAAGTGTTTGGCTATTCATTACATACATGGCGTTAATTCTCTCAGTATTGATTAGTTATACTTGAACTGCATTGTTTTTGAAAACAAAGTAAGTAACACATGTTAGGGCGTGATGCATTTATGAATGCAACGTATATATTTAATTCCCCCCTTAGATCCTCTTCAATATAAAAATATACTCCAAATTAACACTTGTTAGGCGAACATAACTTCTGTGATTAACATTCCAATACGGAATTTGAATGCTTTTTTTCTTAAAATTTATAATTTGCCGTTAAACTCCAAGTTTTCTGAATGTATTTTGGCTTCCTGTTCCTAACAATAAACACATAAACATGTTCTAGCATAGAGGCTCCAAGGGGATATTAAAACTTGATGTCTTGTTAGAATTATTAATAGACAAACCCGAGTTGGTGAGTTGTTGAAATACAGAGGGAATATAACAAAATCTTGGTTGAAGCGAGGAAGTACTCCAAAATGGCGTTCTCCCTTGTGTTGTTGTATAATACATTTAATATTATTTCTGAATAAATAATTGTATAATTACACAATGTTACACGTCGAGGTTCGGGATATTTTTATTGTTTTGGAGATTCCTAACTTTCCAACGTAAATAATAAAGAATGAAACATGGATGATATGCGTAAACAGAACTGTGAAATATATAACATGAATATTTACCTTCGTTCCAATTAGAAGATTCAAGACCAGATGCACCGTAAATCTAGTTTCCATATCTTCAAAACGAAAGTAAAACTTAAAGGGAAAAACATTATTTCTAAGCACCATATTACATGTGTAATTAGGGAAAAAAATATCAGTATTTTTGCTGGACAACAAATTTATGTACACCAGAAATTTTTAAATATATATATTAATATATATTAATGTTAAAAATGCACTTTACAGAAATCGCACTGGTATGCACAAAAGGTCACGCAAAAAAAAAAATCAATGTACTGGAAGTACTTGGAGGCCATAAGAATACGAAATCTTCGACTCCTTATTCGATTAATATTTAATGCCGAGTACCTGTACATATACAGAAAAATAAGTTTGATCAATAAATCATTTTCGTCACATTGAATTTTCACTTACAAATTTTATCAAGCAGGTTATCAGAAATGTCAATTATCTTCATGAATTATGTATGCTGCGACCTTTTTAATCTCAGAAAAGTAAGATTTATGGAAAAATTATAATATTCATCACTTTTTTTTTCATTTTCCAAGTAGATTTGGAAAACAAAAATTCTTAAGGTGATTAAAATTAATGATCCGATAGTCGAATCAAAATTTAATTAAAAAGTCGTATAACTTTGTCTTTTTTTTGGTAAATCTCTAAATCTGTGAAAAATATTCAATTTAACTAGCTATATATTAAATGAATAAGCAGTCAGTCATTTGAAAAAAAAAAATATTGAGGATTCCAGTCAAAATGCTCTTAATATAAACAAGAAAACAAAACGTTATGTGGTCTTTTTTTTACAGCTCAAATATAGATATCATTATTCTTTTGTCAATCCAACACATTATATAATTTTTTTTCCATCAAAATTATCTAGTATAATTGAACAATAAAAGAGATTTAATATCATTTACATCTTTTCTGGAAGAGCCTTAATATTATAAATCTCGTTTCTTAATTGTCAACAACGATCTTAAATCTTTGACACAAGAAGAGGTACGTCGCTGATAAGTGCTTCATCCCAATAAAAGATGTGTAATTAATCAGTTGTCCCCAAAATCCATGCAACCAACATAGATTATACAAAATATATACACATCGCAGCTCCTTGATACATGTACAACAGGTGATCCGAGTGTTTTATCGATTTCCACAAATTTATTGATTTTAGGAAATTGAAGCTCTTCGTCTGTTTACTTATCTTGGTCTCAATCTGTCATAGGGGTGGGACGATACACAGATCTTGCGATACGATACGTATCTCTATATATTAGCACGATACGTATCTCGATATTATGATAAATTATAAAACTATTTAAAAAATTATTTTATTTTATTTTTTGTGTTGACATTCAATCATCAATTTTCTATATCAAATCATATGTGCTTTGAAATTAATACATGAAGTTTATCAATTTCATTGACTTATACTTTACAAAAGAATAAAACATGTTTGGGCTTTAAATTAGAAATGAAATATTCTGTTCTGTTCTATACATATTATTATTATTACCAATTTGGAAACATATTTGAAATTAGTCCAATGACATTGTGTATAATGAGCTTTCAAACTTTAAAATTTGGAGTGGGTGTGAAAGTCGTATTAAATAATCATGAATAAATTATTTACCAAGTGCAGTCCTGGCATTCGATTGCGCTGTTTATACATGTTGTTAATCATTATGTCATAAATCATTCAAATACTTTCTGCAATATATCTTGCTTTTTATAAATCCGGATAGATCTGTATGTATTTATTTTTTTTAAAGTTTATTCGTTAGGCTTTACACCCAGATGCAAATTTAAAAATAACATTTTAAAAAAAACTAATGGGGCGCATTAAAAAAAAAAATCTTTTGGTTTCCATTCTTTTGATATACATGTACAAGTAATATTTTGTAATCTGAATGAAAATTGCATTGATTAATTAGCATTATTTACTGGCTTGTGTAATGACTCAGAATTAGTTAAGTGGATTGAAATAGTTTTTTAAATCACCCAATCAAATCATATTATGTGTAGTCAATCAAAGTTGATATTTTAGCCAATCAAATCATTAGAATTTATTAACCAATGAGTAGCAATTAGGCATAGGAGATATAGTATAAACACAGGGATCAATCTTGTTTCGGTTACTTTTGGTGTAACTCTTTGTCGGAACAAGCTAATTCAGAGAATTCGTGTCCCCCGCTTAGGGAAAAAGTCGGCTCCCCCTGACTGAATTTGTAGAATTATTAAATGTATACATGTATACTGAAGCAAATAAAATACATGTATGTCAATATTCATATAAAGATTTGATTGCTTATTCTTTATTATCTTTATTTTGTGTATAGAAGATTTTTTTATATGGAATATTTATCACACTGTAATGATGATTTTATAACCTCATAATTTTTTCATTTCACATGCTGAATACTATCATTTAGTTAAAAAAAAAAGTATTTAAAAAAAAAAAAAAGGTAAGGAACATCCGAGATTCGATCCCGGGACCTCTCACATTTGAAGCGAGAGACATAACCACTAGACCACGGAATCGCTTTACGCGGTGCAAAGTATATGCAGAACTGAAGTCACATACATGTATATATTCATGTTTTCATGTTCGATATTCTCAAATTTTTACATAATCCATGGTGTTTGATTTATTTAGCCTTTATTAAACAGTTCTAATAGATGTAATAAGAACATAAAGTCCGCCGAGAACCTGTTTTATACGCAGTAACTCTCCTTATGCCCCTGCGCTAAAAATAGCGACATGTAATACTATAAATACTCATAAAACAAACGGGGCGGGGCACCTTGAGAGGGGCGAGAGACGTCCTAGGGAGTTTTGGTATAAAATTACATTGCATAAGCTCAAAATCTTCTTTAAATATAGCCCGGAAATGATAGTGTTACACACAGACAGAATGTATAAATTTACGACCTTGAACTTTGACCTTTTGACCTCAAAATCAATAGGGGTCTTCATTAGGCCACAGGGAGTTGTTATGTAAAATTTCATTGCAATAGCTCAAATGGTTCTAGAGATATCGTGTGGAAACGAAAGTGTTTTAACAGACAGAATTTGCTTATTTATGACCTTGACCTTTGACCTTTTGACCTCAAAATCAATAGGGGTCTTCTTTAGTCCATAGGGAGTTGCTATTCTAAATTTCATTGCAAAAGCTCAAAGGGTTCTCGAGATATCGTGTGGAAACGAAAGCGTTACAGACAGACAGAAAGACGGACGGACGGACGGACGGACGGACGGACACACATTTGGTTATATATTGGGTACATCAAGTCCAAGTCCTATTGGATACTGCTTATTGGATACAAAAAAAGTGTACATACGAGAATGCATTATTTGGGTAGTAACTGTTCAAATCTTATTGGATATTATTCCCAATGTCCATATTTTATTGGGTTTTTCTTATAATTCTTCATTCATTCCAAATTTATTATATTTTTATTGTTTGCTGGTAATTCAGACAAAACTGAAAACCTTTCGGTTTGAACACACAATTTTGTCAATTTCTGTGATAGGTTTCCATTGTAACCCCTAACATTGATCTTTGCAATTAAGATATATATTTTACAAATACCTTATATTGAAATATATGAATACCTAAATACAGTAAACTGAATTCTGCAAACAAAACTTAATACATCTCAGATTATGTTCAACCTTTCTTGAATACCACAAACAAGCATTTAAGGAGAAACCTTTTTAAGTCATGTCCAATATTTACAAGTATAAATAAGAAAATTGGCCAATGTCCATTGCATGTTGGGTGGAATGAAGCTATCCAAGAGGAATTGGGCAGGTGTCCAAAACCTGCTGGGTTGTATTCTGATGAAGGGATTAAATTTACCCAAGAACAATGTGTACATTACCTCTTTGATGGGATGCAAAACCCAACAGGTATTAGACACCTGTCCAACTCCTATTGGATATACCGGTATACATCCCACCCAACACATAATGAACACTTGTCCAATTTCTCTTGAGTTTCTTAAATTGCTTCATCAAAATACAACCCAACAGGTAATGGACACCTGTCCTACTCTTCTTGGATATCTGCATCCCACCCAACAGGTGATGGACACGTCCAATTTTTCTTTGGTTTCTTGAATTGCTTCATCTGAATACAACCCAACAGGTAATGGACACCTGTCCAACTCTTCTTGGATATCTACATCCCACCCAACAGGTGATGGACACTTGTCCAATTCTTCTTGGGTTTCTTCAATTGCTTCATCAGAATACAACCCAATAGGTAATGGACACATGTCCAACTCTTCTTGGATATCTACATCCCACCCAACAAGCGATGGACACTTCTCCATTTCATCTTGGGTTTCTTCAATTCTTTCATCAGAATACAACCCAATAGGTAATGGTCACCTGTCCAACTCTTCTTGGATATCTACATTCAACCCAACAAGCGATGGACACTTGTCCATTTCTTCTTGTGTTTCTGGAATTGCTTCATCAGAATACAACCCAACAGGTAATGGACACCTGTCCAATATTTCTTGGATATCTACATCCCACTCAACAGGTGATGGACACTTGTCCAATTCTTCTTGGGTTTCTTCAATTGCTTCATCAAAATACAACCCAACAGGTAATGGACACCTGTCCTACTCTTCTTGGATATCTACATCCCACCCAACAAGCGATGGACACTTACATGTCCATTTCTTCTTGGGTTTCTTCAATTCTTTCATCAGAATACAACCCAATAGGTAATGGACACCTGTCCAACTCTTCTTGGATATCTACATCCCACCCAACAGGTGATGGACACTTGTCCAATTCTTCTAGGGTTTCTTCAATTGCTTCATCAAGATACAACCCAACAGGTAATGGACACCTGTCCAACTCTTCTTGGATATATACATCCCACCCAACAAGCGATGGACACTTACATGTCCATTTCTTCTTGGGTTTCTTCAATTCTTTCATCAGAATACAACCAAATAGGTAATGGACACCTGTCCAACTCTTCTTGGATATCTACATCCCACCCAACAGGTGATGGACACTTGTCCAATTC